GCACAAGCATGTGACAAGCCACCTGCCGGAGGGCAGGGGGCAGACCCCAGGCCAGAGGGCGCGTCTGGCCCCCGCCTTGTTTGATCGGCTGGCACCTGCTTTCCACCCGGCGGCAGCCGAGCTCTCACTTAGCTGTTACGGAGCGGTCACGCTTGCACAGCCCTGAAACTACGTTCGGCCCTTTGAAGGCGACCACGAGGCTGATGTGGCCCCTGGTGAAAATCGGTTTGACACCCCTAGCTTAAAGAATAAAAGTGAGTGACTCTTCTTAAAGGGGTTTTTTTAAAAGGTAAGTACATTAATTCAGATTTTTTTCTAACTTCTTCCCAAACCAGACAGGTCAGAGGCTGCCCCACTTAAATCGCGTGCAGACCTTGGGAGCTCTGGTCTTCCCAGGGAGTGGCTGGCTCCAGCGGCAGATGGCATCCTGGCTGCCCCGCCCCCACTCCACACACGGAGGGGGGACGGTCGCCGATCACCGCTCCTATTGATGATACCTGACCAGTCCCCGCATTGGCTCGGCGCACGCCGGGCACGCCCTTTCCTTCTCCAGACGCAGAGCCCCGCCCCACTCATCTCTCCGGCTGCGCTCTCCTGCATCGGACACATCCTGCAGCCTACTGCGGGTGGAGGTGCAGGGCTCGGGCCGGGAGGTTTGGGTCTTGTTTGAGGGAGGAAATACGCAGAGACTGAACTGCTGGGTAAGCACAAGAGTCAGCCCTTCCTCCGTGTCTTTTAAAAGGTCATTTCGGCTAAGGAAACAGTATATTCGCCTTCACAGCCTTCTGGCTCTCAAAGGCCAGGCTGACCTTCCGTTTTTAAAAAGCTTTAAGGAAAACTCTTCTGTCTGTCTTCACGGCAAAGGGCCACTTGATTCAGTGTTTATTACAGAAAACAAAAGCCACAGGAGGAAATACAAACCGAGTGCAATTACAAAGTCTTCTTAAGCAAAACCTTGAATGTGAGAGCACTTCACCACCTGAGAACCCCATTCAAATGCAAAGCCGGGTTAGGGCCCTCTCTGACCCCAGGCCGGCCTCTCCCCAGCGAAAGCCTTCCCGGGACTCTGGTAGGCGTGTGAGGACGTCGTTATGTTCACACCCCTGGGAGCCGGCATAAGACAGGACAGACGCCGAATGGGCCCCAGTCCGGTTCCGGCAGGACTCCCAGGCGCCCCCTGGCAAGGCCCCTCCCACAGCAGGGCGCTGCCCTAGGAGCCACTCCCGCCTGCGCGGAGACGGGCTCTCCCAGCAACCCTGCAGGGAGAGCACAGCCCGTTCTTCCCACGGCCGGAGGTTCTCGTCAGTTCGCTTGTATGTGAACGTGAAGTCTGTCTCCCTGTGCGCACTAACCCACATCTCTGCTCGGAAGTTACTGCAAATACGTCAAGTCCCTCTGCTGCAGGTCGGACCGTAACTGCTCGACGACAACGGGACACATTCACTTCCCTGCTCGAACCGTCCGCGGGCCTTGACACCGAAGCCGCAGATGTGAAAGCTGGTGTCGTTACCTGTGCCCGCTAACCAGTCTGCACCGCCAACCTGGGCCAGACGCTCCCCGCGCCCGCGGCGTGTGAGGGCGCACAGGCAGGTGCACGGCGGCCGCCTTAAAGCGCTTCAGTTTGGTGGGCATTAGTCACGTCTCAGCTAACACACACGTGTCCACTCTGTGTTAGGAACTGTCAACAGCTAACGTCATTCCAAGAAGAGAACATGCTTTAGGAAGTAAACACAGTCCTTACAAACATCGTGTTGCAGAGGCGCTCCACCAAGGAATGATGAAGATAAAATAATGTTAGCCAACAAACAACAAACGGAGTTGGAAACCCAAATGATTTTCTATTGTAAGCAAAAGAATTCTCTTGTTTTTTTTTAAGAATTAATAAAAATGCCTAACTTCCAAGAAACTTGTTTGTTGGATTGATGTATTTACACGTGCTGCAGTAAAAACCTGATACAGATAACTGTTCTGCACGTTAGGTTTTAAACATAACTGAACTAAATTTACTGAGTAATTATGATGCAGAGGAATCACAGGAACTTAAGGCTGTCCAGTAGTGTATGCGTATAAACACACAGAGAAACATGTATATGCCCATCACAAGCCTTAAAACCTATCAAAAATGTTTCACGTAAAATGAACATTAGCCAAAATAAACACATAAATTTAAAAAATATCTTGGCAAGTGAATGTTAGCATTTTTTCCCCTTATAATTCAATGGCAAGAAAATGCAGGCCAATTCCTGGCTGTGCAAAAAAAAAAAATCACTTAATAAAATAATAGCAATGCTCTTTAAATAAAATTTGTACCTAAAAGTCTTAAAACCCGGCAAATCTAGCATTAACACTCTTACAGGTAGGTTTTCCGGAAATGCGTAATGCAGTTCAAGTATTACAGCCCGGCCGCCTGTGTGTCGTTCCGAGACCGATGACTACAGCCTGAATTCCAGAGCGCCCCATCTTCATCATCGCAACAGATCACAGCTGCTCGGGGCCAAAGCGTGAAAGGGAACCGTAGGGTCGGCACGGAAACGTAACTCCGGTAAACCAGGGCGGCAGCTCACTGCAGCCCCCGGCCTGGAGCTCCACCGCCTGCCTGTTCGCATTGTGCTCAGTTTCACGAATCACAAACGAGGCGTTTTTTTAGGGTAAATTAAGGCCCCCACAAGAGCTGCAGGGAAGGGCCGTAAGGTAGAGTACTTACGTACAGGGCTACCGGGTCGGGAGACAATGCAACTTCCCAGGGAAGGTCTCTAAGGTCCCCGGGGTGCAAACGCACCTGAAAGGGCCGTGTGGATTCAGACGGCCTCCTCCCCACGGCGCGCCAGACAAAGCAGGGCCGGGCCCTCGGCGCTCCCGGGGCCCCTGCAATGCGGATCCCTCGCCCTACCATCCCACCCCGGCCTGGCAGGGCAGCTCTGCTGGCCTCCCCTGCCCCGTCCGATTGGCTCGGGCGCGCGGTGCGCACGGTCCGCAGCCTGGACCCGAGCCCTGGCAAGGGCATCCCCCGCCGCGTAACCGGCTGCAAGACCCTGCAGGCAGCCGGCGCGGGGGTCGCGGCGCCTCACTTTTCTTTTGCTCTCCTTCCCAGCACTCCGTTGGCGCCCCGAGTTGTTTCCGCTAGGGGACACCCCTCCCCACCCTCGGGCCCCGGGGCTAGGATGGGGGACCCCCACCCGCTGTCGCGAGGGCTTAACAATCTCCTTGAATGTTTGTCCTGACAGGTGCCCTCGCCGCCTACAGAGCCTCCCCGCAGGTACTGCCAGGTGAGCGGGACTGGACTGGTCACACCTCGGGCCCCGCCTCACCTGCGGGCGCGGCCGTCGCGGTCCTTCAGGCGACTCCCCCCTCGGCGCTGTCCTCCGGGCGGGCGGCAGCGAAGGCCGGCGGCCCATGGGCGGGGCGGCGGGCGGGGCTGGCTCCCGGCTCGGGCCCTGCCCCGGCCCGGCCGCGGAGCGAGGTCAGTGGGCGCCGCCCGCCGAGCGCATCTCGCCGGCTCCCACCCGAGCGCTCGCCGCTGTGCACGCTGGGAGCGGGGGCCGGGGCGGCGAGGCCTGGCCGCGCTGACGGGCGGGCGGCGGAGGCGCCGGCGCGGCGGCGGGTCTGTGTCTGCGGGGTGGGGTGGGGGAGGCCGATCGATACTCACTTGACGCGGAGGGGGCGACGCCCCCCTCTCGCTGCTACGGCGGGGCAGGGGACAGCACAGAGGGGAGGGATGGTCTGGCGGGTGGGGCGCAGGCGCACAGCTCAGGTGCGGCCGCACTGCGGTTGCCCTAGGTAACGCGGGCCCGGGCGGGGCGGGGGGAGGAGGAGCCAGGCGGGCGAGCGGGAGCGCGCGCGCCGGTCGCTGGGTGGGGGTGTGAGGGGTGGGTACTCGGGACAAGCCTGGCATTGGGGGGAGGGCGCGCGCGGGCGGTCGAGGGGCGGAGCAGAGGCCGGGCGGGGGGGCCGGGGCGCGGGCCGGGCCGTGCGCATGCGTGCGGCCCCTGCTCCCTCGGGGCGGCCGGCCTCGTGCGTGCGCACGCGCGCTGTCCCCCGGAGGCGTCTGGGTGTGCGGAGCGCGCGCGCGCGCGGCTCGGAGGCGCACCTGTGAGGTGTCCCTAGAGGAGAGGGAGGGTGGGTGCGCGGAGCCCGCGGCCTGGGGCGCTTCAACCCCTCACTTCTAGTGAGTTTTCGGGCGGCCGGGCTGCAGTCTCTTTATTTCTTTCCTGGACCCAGGCGGGGGCGCCGGGAGGGGGGCCAGGGGAGCGGGCTCGGGTGAGAAGGAGAATGAGTGGATTAAAGAAAAGAAAAACAGCCCATCACTTAGGATGGGCCTCGGGCCGGGGCCGGCCCCTGGGCGTCGGTGGGGAAGGTCAGAGCCGCTCCGCGCGGCCTGGCGGCCCCTGGGCAGGCCCCACGGAGGGCAGCCGGGGCTCGGGCCTCCGCGAGCCGGCGTGGGCCCGCAGTGCCGGCTGCGGGGAGCGGGGTTCACAGATGGCGGCCGGGCGCGCGGCGCGGGCAGGGCAGCGGCAGGGGCGAGGCCGGGCGAGGCCCCGCGGGAGCCGGACTCCCGAGCCCGGCTCCATTGTTGTTGCGGCCGAGGGAAGGGGGAGCAAAACAGCCTCAGAAGCCCGAGCGGCCGCGCCTTGGAGCCTTTCCAGGCGGGTCCCCGGAGAGGCGGTAATGGCCGCGCCGTGGGAGCAGGCAGCCGGGCGGTGCGGCGGCGAAGCCTCGCTGCATGGTGGGCTGGTGTGTCTTTTCAGGGCGCCCGGCGTCCCGGCGGAGCCCTTCGAGCATCCTGCGCAGGTGATGAGGGGCCCCTGGCGCCCCCGGCGCGGAACGCAGCCGCCGCTGGACGCCTCCATTGTTTGACCGCCGCCCGGGCCGAGTCGCAGCCAGGTAACCCGGAGGGGCAGCGCGGGCGAGCCTCCTTTCGACTCCCACACCCGAAGGAGCCCTCCCCTCTTTCGGGACCCAACTTCGGTTCTCTTCCCGCCCCCTGCTTTTCCGTAACTCACCGTGTCCCCGCTCAGACGTTTTCCCCACTCGGGTCAGTCTCTCTGCGAAGTCACCTCGCGTGTCCCCGAAACTCGGCTCTTTTGTGAAAGCTCCCGTGCCGAACTCGAGCAGCTGGGTCTCGCCCAGAAGCCTGCTTGTTCCGAACACTTCCAGTTGCTAGTCAGTTCGTCGGGTGTCTTGTCGCAACAAAGGAGACTAGCTCCTACAAAGGGGAAAAATGTAAGCTATTTTTTTTTTTAAAGAAACGTTTTGTGACTTTTAGAGTTGATTGTTTTAACAGGATCGAACTGTTTTTGTTTCTGTATTTTTTTTTCCTCTTTTACATGGGGCCCCCACTTCCTTTGCAGATGTGTAGCTTGTTAGAACAGAAAAATGACCTTGTCCCACCTACGGGTTAATTTACATTTTTCACATGAACTTTAAATGAGTAAAACAGCACATTTTCTTTGTAAGCATTGAAACGTCATCAAGGTGGCCCGGGTTGTTGACTGCCAGCCCCGGTCCCCAGAGATAACACTGTTATGTGTGTGCTGTGTGTCCTTCTAGGTCTTTTAAAATCTTTCTGCGGGTGTGTGCGTCCTTGCTCACCTTTGTTCTGACAACCGCTGGAGTGCCGTTTCAAGTTTAGCGTGGGACGAATGGGTTAACTCATTTGGAAAAACTGCTGCCTCGTGTCCCGTAGTTGGGGTGGACCGTGTTTATTTAGCCGGTTCCTAGACTGGGGGCAACTTCAGTTTTCACTTTACATTCGAGACAGCTTTCTTGGTGGTGGTTCTCCAGCGCAGCGCAGTCTGGTGAAGGGAGCACAGAACTCCCCTCGTTCCAGAGGCCGGCCGGCTGCCGGGCGAGCGCTCTCTGGTTGAGGGCTCCCAGGCCGCAGCCTCCCGCCGCCCTCCTGCCGCTGGCATTGTGACTCGACTGCTCTCACGTCCCGTGACCTTGGGCGGGACACCTAACGACTCCAAAGTCTCAACCTCAGTTCTCGCGCCTGTAAACGGTGACGACACCTGCTCTGCTCCTCGGGGTCCCGTGACGTGAAGTGTGTGAAAGTGACGTGGTGGAGTGTGACGTGGTGGGGCGCTGGTTTTGTTCGCCTTTGTGATGATCCAGAGGGGTTTTGTCTGCAATGTAATTTATATTTCCCTTTTTGACCAGTTGTGTGTATTACAGAACAGCAGAGGTGGCCAACTTTGGGTGCTTTTTGATTTGTGATTTCATTGCAATTAATTTTTATCAAGTACTGTTACTATATGATAGGCTTCTTAAAGAATATTCTTTAAGCACATTTTCCCTAGTTCTTCACATGCCATAAAAAATGAGGCATATGGCCCCTGGCTGGTGTGGCTCAGTGGACTGAGTGCTGGGCTGAGAACCAAAGGGTCACCAGTTCGATTCCCAGTCAGGGCACATGCCTGGGTTGCGGGCCAGGTCCCCATTAGGGGGCATGGGAAAGGGAACCACACATTGATGTTTCTCTTCCTCTCTTCCTCCCTTCCCCTCTCTCTGAAAATAAATAAAGTCTTAAAAATAAGGCATATAAATCAGCTGACTGTGAATAAAGTATCAGCAGATTGAACACAGCATAAAACAGAACTCTCATTCTAATACTTAAACCCCTTATCACTAGCAATGCCAGTCTGTGTGTGAGCTTCCTGTAGTGGCAGCAGGGTCAGGTCAGCGTTCCTGTCTTCCGGTGAAATGGGTTCTCCCTGAATCTGTAGACAGTATCGGAGAGAGAGCAGCGGTTTAAATATTGAGTGAACAGTGGGATGGATATAATTTTAAGATGTAAGAGATGCAGTTAGGGGCTTGGTAGCTATTTTTCTTTCATTCAAATATACCTGAGTGCTTGTAGCGTGGCCAGCAAAATCAACTTGTCCCTGTGTTCTGGAGTTTACAGTCTGCCGGGTGCAGGGGATCAGAAATGAAATGCAGCCCCCCAGATGGCGGGACTGTCTGGGGGTGGTGAAGGTTGAGCATCGTAGGCCGCAAGAGTAACAAAGAGGCCCACATGAGAGACTGTGGAGAGAGGACCCAGGAAAGACTTTTTTCTTTCTTTCTTTCTTTAAAAAATAAGATTTCAGCCGAGATCAGAAGGGTGAGTAGGCGCTAGTGCAGAGTAAAGTGGGGGATCATTTTCCAGGCAGGGGGATGGCGTGTGGGAGGGCCCTGGGGAGAACTCTGCCCCGTCCGGGACCTGGAGGCGTGACCACGCTGCGGTGGGGACGGGCTGCGCCACCGGCTAGCTCGGGCGGGCGGGGTCTGGTAGGGACGGTGGAGGCTGTTTCATCCCGAGTGAAATGGGAAGCCATCACCAGGCCTGGCTTTTAAGCGGAGGAGTGACCTAATCCGGTCTGCATTTTTAAACAGCCACTCCAGCTGCTGCGCGCAGGAGGTGGGGGCGTGGGGCGGAGGGTGGGGTTGGGGAGACTGGGCAGTCCCCCTCGGAGTCTCTCTAGAGGTCTGGGTGTGTTTCGACAAGGGGTGGGCCTCCCCTTGGAGTTCCTGTTGAGTTCAAACTCCCGACCGAGCTGAGGCCAAAGGAGACATCTTAGTGTTTTTTAAAAAGTTCTCATTTTTATTACTAAAGAGAGGAAGGAAAGGGCACTTTTTAATGCAAAAAAATACACATAAATGTTAAACTCGTCCACAGTATACCTAACAAAAAAGGAAAAGTCAGATTTAAAACGGAGCCGTTATTTAACATGGTTTTTATAAGCTTCTTCAAACACTACTGCGTGAAGTAAGAGCGGGGTGAGGACCCAAAACGAAGACCAGAGAAAACCGTGGACATTGTTGGCTAAAAACATGAGTAACTGAAAATCAGACCAAAAAATTGAGGAAGTGAGCAGGTATACCATGCATGTATAAAATTCATAGCTTTCTGAATACCAAGAATAGCCTGGCAGAAACTAAAATGGAAAATAAAAACAGCTCAGATTACAGTGCGACAAAAACATAACACGTGTGTTAAGTCCGGCCTCATGGAGACAGCGGGGTTCCCGTGAGGGGGACCGTGAAAGACCCCGACAGAGTGGAAGGACTGTCGTAGACGGAAAGACAGACCGAGTTCTGGCCGTGACGCTTCAGCGTGAGACCGACCAGGTGGGCGGTCAGGGGAGCGGGGTGGGGGTGGGGGCGAGAGCCCGGGCTGACCCGCAAACGCTGTGAGCGCACTCACTCACGGTGACGCCGCGCCGGCTCCGGGGGGTCTGCACGCTCAGCGTGTCCGCGGGTCCCCGGAACCCACTCGGCACTGCGGAGCCGACCTGTGCACGCGAGAGGAGTGAATGGCAAATCAGCCCGAGGGCCTCAGCGCCGTGAGGAGGAGATTGTGAAAGTGACTAGTGCACACCTGGCGAGGCCGGCTCTCTCCCCCCAGGTGAATGAGCGCAGGCTCTGCGGTCAGGCTTACCTGAGCCGGAGCCCTTCGCTTAAGGGACGTAATACCCGCCGTTTAAAGTGGGAGGGGAAGCGACGGAGTGGGTCCTGGCACCTACGGGTGCTCCTCCGTTACTAGTTAAATCGTCGTATCGGGCTGCATGAACGTGTCAAACTTCTTCAAGAAGAAAGGGAAGCGGTGCCCCCAGGTTAAAAGCCTAGCGACAAAGCAGGACAATATTTGTGACAAAAAATAAGTGGAGAGTTAGTATCTTCAACATGTAAGGAACATGCATAAATCAGTGAGGAAAATGAAAATCCACGCCAGTGATGACAGGGCCTGGACAATTTACTGGATAAAAATATGACGTATCAAACATTTGGCAAGATGTGCAATCTCACTGATGTCCAAATAATTTGTAATCACTCCTGCAGAGAAGTCAGTCTGTTCTCAATAGTGGTAAGACTAGAAGACATTTAAGAACAAAACATAAATGTACAAAAGCTTTAGAAAGAAAACCAAAAATCATTACATAAAGAACGTAAAACTGAAGAACTTAGGTAGACTTGAAGAACTCACCTGGAGCGGGCCTAGGTAAACGTGCGGGCCCCGCGTGTGTCTGCCGGCGAGGCGGCACTGACGGTGGCAGTTCCCCAGCAGTTAGACCGGTGACGCTGGGAGTCCGCTGCACGCTGGCTTTGGACACGCGGTGAGCTGCTTCTGAAAGTCGTCAGAGGACTGAGCGTGCCAGAACGGCCACGAGATGTTTCAGATGGAAAAACAGCGATGGGGTGTTCGCTGCCCCGGACGCCACAACGCACTGCGGCGCTGTGGGAACGTGAGTGGTGAGTGCAGGAGCAGCAGGCCGGGCTCCAGCCGGGCGTGAGGGTTCGAGTGCCGTCCCAGCCCTCCAGAGCGGCGGGGTCACCCCAGGCCAGGGCGCGTGCGAGAACCAGCCGGTGCGTGCACCAGTAAGTGGAACGTCAGATTGGTGCTTTTCTCTCTCTCCCCTTTTCTCTCTGTCCAAAGTCAGTAAATGAATTTTTTAAAAAAAGAACAGGCAAGTTGCTACGTGGAACAAAGTAGAATCCAGTCCCAGACCCATCTATGTGTGGGACTCTGACTGATAATAAAGCTAGTGCTTTGAAACAGTTGGGAAATGATTGTTCAGTATATTGATCAGGGATAGATAAATATTTGGAAAGAAAGATCACACTTCCCCATATGTAAACTGAGTTTTATTTGGATTAAAGAACTAATTCACAAACAAAATGCCTGTAAAGTATTAGAAGAAAATGGAAGAATTTTTTTATGTTGGAGTATAAATCATATTGGAAAACACATTTTTAGTGTAGGCCATTGAGGTAAGACCAAGACCCAAAACGACAAGGACTGGTAAATTTGACTGAACGTTGTCAGAGCGGATGTTTCTGTGTGACCAAAGACAGGACAAGGTGACCGGCGGGGAGAGAAGGTGTTCTGTGACGAGGGCCGACGGGTGAAGGACAGCGGGGTGGACACAGTGGAGACATGAGGGGCGCGTGTGGCGAGGCCTCAGAAGGCAGTGAAAGTGTTGGGGCGGTGCGGGGGGTTCGGCCTTGGGATTAGGAAAATGGACATTGGAACAACTAGACTTTTTTTTCGGCGTGGGGGCTTTGGGCAGACATTGAAAAGATACTCAGGGATGTGGAGGAAGAGGCACTTAATGGGTTATTGGGAACATAAAGTGGGTTCCCCTGTTCCCGACGACAGTGTGGCAGACCTGGCAGACACGCATGCACACGCACACACGCACGCACACACGTGCTCCGATCCAGCCGGCACACGTCCTGGGGTCCA